AATACGATCAATAATTATATGTATAAAAATCCTTTACTATTTCACCTTAGAATATAAATAAAATAAATTTAAATGTAGTTAATCATTTATTGAAAAAATATTTCCACTAGACGACCCTCACAAAACGTCGTTAATCAGTAAATAAGAAAGAAAGCTTTCGAATCCGGCGTCTAGTAATAAATAAAAATATTCTCTGCAAAGAAACTGTTATCAACACAATAGTTACAGTATACAGACAAATTTGGCTAGCCCGCGTTTCAGGTGGAATTGAATACCGAGAAAGATAGGCGCCCCATTAGACTGAACGGAGAAAGATAGAATTATTACACATGCAGTTGTCTTTAAACAAACAAAGAGAGGGTTGCGTACAGAGATATTCTATGAAATAGCCTTAACTTAACATTGTAAGTACTTTCCACATGCTTTGATTTACGTGGTACTTTCACTCTAATTGCTGCTGATGACACTACGATTTTATGGCACAGGAAATGACACTTCTAGAGACTCGTAATATTGAATGGACTAATATCATAAAATTTCTGGGCGTTAATTCACACAATAATTATTAAAATGTAAGAACCATAATTCCTAAACAAAAAACTTTCATTTGGATGTTTTGCAGTCAGAACTGTGGCTAAAAAAATAGTTAATAAACCAACTAAAAGTGTATATTACGCTCTAGTTGAGGATGCATTTTGGCGAGGTTGTAGACGTTAGTCAATACTGTTTTTCGTCTGGAAAAAAGAGCAATACAACTTTTATGTAAACAATCTCGACTTATTTCGTCAATTACTGTCGACGATATTGTATTAATAAAAAAATATGATATGGAAATCAATTCAATATTAGTTGATGCTGATTATTTTCAAGGAATAAAAAGACTGCTTCAGACATTATCATTCATTTCGGTAAATATGGTGGCCTACATATCTGGTCTTGTTGTTAAAATTAAAAAAAAAACACGTTAAATGTTTAAATTGCATGGGCTATATTAGTTAGAGAAACAACCTTATGCTCTTCAATATAAAAAGTCAGTAAATTATTTTACCCAGAACTTACCTCGATATAGAAATTGTAAAAATAGGGAACGCCTAAGTACTTAAATTTTAATAATTTAAAATTGAAACCACCAACCCAAAAACCCTTGTTCACATTTCTCTCTCCATCGATCTTCCTCTTGATCCCACCCGAAACCTCACTTCGGTCCGCTCAGTATTCTTAGTCAGGTTCACCCTTATATTTTAAAATGGTCCATTTAATTTCCATTCAAAGGAGACCCGTTTTGATTAAATGCGATTCCTTTCAACGCCATATTGAATTTTTTAAAACTTAATTAGGATCGGTCATTTTTGGCTTCTGAAATTCTCAGATACCAATCTACCGACTTTTAAAAATAATTAAAAAAAACCGCCCACCCTTGACTATTTAAATCGCAATTTAAAATACAAAAAGGCTTTTCAACTTTGACGATGGAGATCCAAAGCCTCCTGTTGGAGTGGTCACGATCCGCTACTGGAAATCTCCTACAGGGTGTTATTTAAATATTCAATTACTGCGTATAGAGGATTAAAGGTAAGGCAGATGTGTGTGTATTGTATAAGGTTAAAAATTGACGTATACCCTTTAAAATATACGTGTTGATAAGGGGGTTAAGACTTAACCCTCTCAATGTATATATTATTAGAAGGTTGTGAGATTTTAGGACTATAATTTGAATCTTCAAAGTTTTGAAGTAGGTATGTTATTTATGGAGTCCTAGATGAAATAAAAATAATACTACATTTTTACTTAAAGCAAACCTTTATTTTATTACATTTTAAATAGAAAACTACAATACTTGATTATACAAAATTTTGCAATATCTATGTTCATTTTTATATTTTTTATTTCTCTTACACTCACACTAAAGGAACCTTTTTAATTCATTCATAAATATTCTTCCGATTTCGCAAAATATTTTTAAACTACTTGTAAATCGTTAAAGATAGAAAGACAAGTAGAGTTGGACGATGGCATACTTTTTCAATCACACTTTGAATCGTTAATGTGATTAGTATAAATTAAATAAATGAGATTTTGTTTCCTCAAATCATTAACAAACTAAATATTCATCAATATTTTTGGAAAAACATTTATAAAATTGCTATATAAACACGTAAAGAATGTAAACTATTAAATAACGGTTCGTAAAACATCGCCTAACCCTACTGGACATTCATAATAATGACGTCTTTAAGGTTTTACATGTGAGTAAATTTAAAGATGCTTTGTGAATTAGGCTAATAATATTTTTTTTTAAGTTCTATGTAACTAATATACATATAATTAACATATACAGAGTGTTCTACAATTAGGTATTCAACTTAAAATTTTGATTTACAATTTTTTATTTAATTTAAGTAGTAATTAATGGCTGGCATATCCGAAATTACAAAAATTTTATTGTCTGTCTTTGGATTTAACAAAAAAAAGTAAAACAAAATTTTACTGCATTTATGCATCTTGTTTTAATTGACTGTTAAAAATCCAAATTCTTTCTATAAGAGTGTTCTGTGCAACAAGTCATTTGGGAACTATCATTGTCACATTATTTGTTGTGTTATGTGTATGGAGTGTAGAGGAAAGGAGAACAATCTCCACCAGAAAGGTGTAAATAAGGTTTCAGAAAGTAGCCAGAATGGCGCTCGTATACTAAAAGTACGTTATCCAATGATATATAATAGTTATATAGACTGCTCATCCATAAGTAAATCAGACGACAAAATTTATTGGACTAATTATGAAAACTTATTTGGAAAAAATTCAATTTAACAAAATTTTCTTTAGTACGATGAAGTTCAGTTAGAAATTTTTTGTTAAAGCTTTATAAACTTAGTGATATTTACTTTGAATTATAAGCAGCTTCCTTCCAATTAAAAAAATTGTAATAATAAAATATATGTGTGGAAAAGGGACAACAACACCAAAACTGATTGTGAAATTTCGATGTAGAAATAAATCATTTTAATAATTACACTTATGTATTATAATGCGAGCTATTTCATTAATCGGTCATGCTTTAATCCTTCAAGTCCCTCTCTGTCTTATTTGGCCTTTGAGGCTCAACTTGTCCGATTATCATACATAATTAAACCCCTTAAGACCAAACATATGTGACGACTATGGCGGAGGCGCTTTCGCGTACATTCCTGAGTCAACGTGATAATGTTTCTAGTATATTCCAGATATAATGAGATGTTTCTATTTTGGCGGAAGAGCATTCTGGAATCCACCAGAACTTTATATTTGTATATAAATATTGGTGGAGGAACAAACGTGGCAGTCATTAGTATACAAACAGCTGTGAAGATAAATAGTGAACAATTTAGAGACTTCGAAATATATATATAAATTAAAATAGTAGTGTTATAAAATAAATAAGTGTTTAAATAAATTGTTTACAAATCAACTGTTGTTTAAAATAAACAAACATTACAATATTATTATAATTTTACTTCTACAAGATATTGGAAAACAATCAAAAATTAAAAAGTATATTTTGAACGATTCATTAATTACAAATAAACAAAGATCCTACATCAGGTTCTATTTCAACCGCAAGTACTAAATTAACAACTAAAATAACTACAACTCTACAAGATACTGAAAAACAATCAAAAACTGTACTAGTTGTGAGCAATCTATAAAACTATTATAGATATCATTTGTATGATCTGAATTATCGACTGTCACAAGTTTCGGTGTCCTTCTGGTACAGTAAAGCCATCTTAATTTTATACATTTTGAGGGACACTTTTTGTAAACAGATAAGGATTTCTTTATGAGCTTACTACAGTATTGTGGTTACTGTGGCAAGGTCACACATACCTTGTCATATGTCAAATTTAATTTAAGTTTGGCGATTTCTAAACGGAATTTGAATTTTAAGAAATTTTAGGATGTTTTGATTTTGTTATTTTTATTATAGTATATGTTCTAGTGAGCTTATAAAGAAATGTCTCGTTAGATGTAGCTACATATGCTTTGGTAACATATGACGTCATCAGAGTAACTGAGTAACTAAACCTTATAAAGAAATGTTTTGGTAAGATTATAAGGAAATGCCTATAGTTATCCTTACCTCAAGAGCGGGAGCAGAAATCGTAAGCTATAAATACAAATTATAGACAATCGACTGTGAGAAATGTATGTTCCATTCATTTATACCAGTGACAAGTTAAATAGAATTACTTTACAGAAATGTTTGTATTATTTGTAAAATCCTCACATTGAAATTGAAAAAAAAAATTGGTGCATTTTGTTACGTTTTCATCTTTTTTCAACCAACATATTCACTTCACCGGAAGAACAATGACGAAAGTGCAAATTTTGACTTTTTGAGTTAACTATGGTATAATTACAAAGAAAAATGCATTTCTCCAGGTAGACAAAACAGACTAACCCTAGCCTGGGTACCAAGCCACAGAGGACATAAAGGCAATGAAGAGGTTGATTTATTAGCCCGAGAAGGAACATCAAATGCTCTTATTGGCCTAGAACCCTTCTGTAGTGTCATAAAGACAGATATCAGAACATGCACAAAGCAGTGGATGTTTAAAATCTCAGGAATGGTGGAAAAATTATCCAGGAAGTCTTAAAAAAACCATCCCCTACCAAGCCATAATAGAAAAAATACTAAAGTACTAGTAGGTCTATTAACAGGGCAATGTAGGCTTAACAAACAGAAGAGACCTTGTGCCGATTCTGTCAGGAAGAGGTGGAAACTGAAAAACACGTATTGTGCTACTGCACAAGACTGAGGTTCCTTACACTTGGAGAAGAAACACCAGGGCATACTCTAAATACCGATTAAAGGATATATACAATAGATATGAAAATATCTACAATAGATATGAAAATATCTACAATAGATATGAAAATATCTACAATAGATATGAAAATATCTACAATAGATATGAAAATATCTACAATAGATATGAAAATATCTACAATAGATATGAAAATATCTACAATAGATATAAAAAGGTCGATGTGGGGGAGGCCACATGGCCCGAAGTCCTAACTAAATCTAATCAAACGTCTCAGTTGTAAGTTTCATATTACTTTTTTTTTAATTGCGATTTGACTTGGGTCATTGTCCTTCCGGAGAAAATAAAAAAATTCATTTATTTTTAGTTGAATTCCCAATTTTAGCAACTCCTAACTAATTTACTAATATTTTATGTGTATATATGTTATACTTACTTTCGCTTAGTTAATAAATAAAGTTTATACATAATTAAAAATTTAAGGAAGGATATTTTTGTAGATATTTGGTATAAAAATAATGTCGACACTCTGCATATATTATTCACTATAAGTTATATAGTTTTTATCTTAAATTCAAAGGGAGTACAACTTTGACAGTAATACAGTAATACTTTTTCAGTATTTTAATTCAAAGTACATATAAAAAAATGTTTTTCGCTTATGTAGGTACCTAATTTACAGAAAAAAGTAAACCTTAAAATTATTATCAAACAATATCAAAACCAAAATATCAGTTTTACTGACTCCAAAATAATTTAATTGAACACATTACAATTTTTTGTTTGAGATCATTTTATTGCACACATAAACAAAAAAAAAATTATAAATAAATATACAGTCTTTTTAAAGTCAATAGATCAATTAGTCTTATAAAATTAAAACAGTCCTAATTCTCTCAAGCGGAAATAATAGAGGACTGCATAGTGTCAATGATGGCAATTACAATATGTTTTTCTGGAAATAATTACAGATCCATCATTTAAAACCATTGTAATATAAAATATTAATCTTTAAAAAAAAATGCTAATACCACCACAGATATATAAATATTCTTTCTCGCCTGAAGTAGTACAAGAAAGTAATTTTGCGAATAAACATATTTTTGTAAAATAGCTATTGACATTTTTTTTTCAGTAAAAAAACTATATGTAGCTTGTCTGTAAGGGCGGTTGGGATACTATTTTTAACATCAAAAAAATATATTCCAGGTCTATTTATAACTTTCATATGTGCTGCTCTCTTTGTTTCGGTTGTTCCAATCATAATCTAGAAGTCCGTTTAATATATTTTCCGTTACCCGTGACCTAAAGCTAAAAGTTGTAAATCCCTCAATTCAGGTGACTCGGTTGCGCTTGGAAAAAGCAGCTACGGAATTTTTACAAGAAACATGGCTACGAAAATTTTCTCTTTCACTCCACGTTCCAGTCTAGACAGTGAGTCTGCTGTCCATTATCTAATTTACCGATTTTTATTTTTTTTTTCGATTTTTGATTTCATCTAGCGAATTTTAGGGACCTTTCAGTTCTCTGACATATACTACTTTAAAATATATAATTTTGTAGTATAATAGATTTATCTTAATTTCAAATGTATTCAAGAATACATTTTAAGAATTTAAAATGTATGCAACACATTTTACAACTAATCCAACGAATATAAATCCCATAAAATTTAAACTATCAGCTCTTCTGGGGAAATATAAAATTATTTTACTCCGTGTTCGTTAATTTGTATCCGCGGATAGTTAGGTTACAGAATTTTTAAAACACTGTGAATAATAGTGTACAAAATGTTTTAAAAACTAATTTTTTGAGACATTCGCTGGCTGAAAACTGTCATATTAAATCGTTGGGAAGGCATACTCCCGATTTAAAACTTACTCAGGCAAACAAAAGTTTAAAAGGTTCATATACAAGACGATTTTCAAGGCAAGTGTATAACAAAAATAAGTAGATATGTAGGTGTGATATTCTGGACCCATTGTTTTGTTTTCCTTGTTTATCCCCCACCTTTAGCCCTGGTTGAATTAAAGGTTAGATTTATATTTATATAAAACACCCTTTGAAAACGTACCGTTTCAAATTATTGAACTTATCTGTAATTTTTGTCAGAAAAATTAAATAAAGTTGGCATAATTGACACTATGCAGTACTTCTCTATTCTGCATATTCTACACTTGAATCCAAAAGTAATTATTATGACTAGAAAACGCAGTTCAAATAAACTTAATCATACCTATACTTAAATCTAAAAAAATCAAAATATATTTCACTGCTTGGTAAATGAGATCTAGAGTATTTTTCGCGAAATATTTTAATATCATGTTTTTTACAAATGTATAAACGTATAAATACAGAAGGAAGACAATGGTATCCAAGAGTCAGCTCAATACATAATTTTTTGAGCTTTTTTGGTTTAAAAGACTTATTTCTGACTAGATTTGTTATATTTTCTTTGGTAACTTTGTGATTATTTAATATTAGTTCAGACAGAAAATAAAATAAAAATTAATATATATAAAATAACAACAAATAGAACAACACCGATAGCGTCAATGTTACATCTGGGGAGTACTTGTTTTGCTTTTTTAATATAGAAATATTATATCGATTATTATGGGGCTATTGCAATAAATCTCCGAGTTTATATTTACTTTCGTTAATGTAAAATTAAATGGTTTGTATAAAATAGAAGTATGAAAAATATGGAAATATCAACAATCAAAATATTGAAAATAAAAAATAAGAAGCTAAAAATTGAAAAATAAAATAAAATTTCATTTGCCGCGTTTGAGAATCCACATCGGATGCATCTGAGATGTTGTGAATTTTTTATCACGTGATAGAGAATTAGATCTGAATGTAGATGTAATAAACAAACGCTCTAGACTTTATTTGGTCACGTGATAAAATGTCAATGACAAGTTAGAAGTTTATACTTATTAAATTTGACTTTTGAGACTACAAATCAACCTAAATTTGAAATATAAACAAAAATTAAACAAACTAATCACTTTTATATTCATAACAAAGGATAAATTGACAAACAAGACTTCACAAAACACTTATTTTCTGGCATGGAACGAACATCTCATTTCAAATCGAGATGTAAAAAATGTAATCTGAACAGGTACATCTGGGATAAACAAACGCAGATGTAGATGTAGTAGATGTGTCCGATGTGGATAAAAAACGCTCGAGATGTAAAAAATGCATCCGATGTGGATTCTCAAACACGGCAATTTATAATCTTTTCTTTTTTTTTACAAGGGTAAAATGTATCTTTTTACTCTTTTTTATTTTATTTTCTGGACAAACTCACTCTAAAGTTTCATTGATGGCCTTATTTCTAAATTAAATAATATAATTTTGATATACATATAGAGGTAAAAATTCTAGCAAGTAAAAAAATAAAGTAAGACTAGAAAAAAAATTGTTTCTAAGGCTTTTTCAATTATTTTTAGCCACAGTCTCATCTAATTTTGCTGCAGTCTCGAAATGATATGCCAAATGAATAATAATAAAAGGTGGTTCAATATTTGAGCGTTATGATTGATAAAAAGTATTTTTAATTCAATAATGAACCATACTTACTGAAACTTCCAAATATTAAATCAATTGCTAAAAAAATCAATAAATTCATATTGTATACAAGATAAAATTAAAAAAAAAAACTACATCATCGATAAAGGCATTATTGAAAATCCTTCAGCAAATTTATGGTTATTTCTTATGTGTGAACTAAGATTACCAGATTGGACGAAGGCCTTGTCACAAAAATGACATTTAAAAGGTTTTTCATCTGTATGTAGCCTTATGTGATTGTTCAAATTACCAGACTGCGTGAAAGCACGGTCACAATGAGGACACTTAAATGGTTTTTCTCCTAAAACATAAAAAAATATTCCAATACAAGAAACAAATGATATTTAATAATCCTACCTGTGTGTACTCTCATGTGATTCACCAAATTACAGCTCTGAGAAAAACATTTATTACAAACTTCACATATATAAGGCCTATCTCCATTATGACCTCTCATGTGAATAGCAAGATTGCTTTGAGTGTTAAAGACTTTTTGACACAATGCACAGTACAATCGTTCTTCTGGAGATTTAGGTAAAATGTCATGTTTTAAAAGATGTGTTTTCATACGTCTGAAAAACTTTTTACATATGGGACATTTTTCTAATGGATTGGACCTCCTTTTGGCATATGTGTCTTCTACATTTGAGGCTTCATCTTTTGAAACAAGTCGAACTTTTTCACGAGACCTAAGGTAAAATATATTTTTTAAAGTAGAAATGGATATGTCTTCATAGCTTTTTATACAGTCTATATATTGCTATTATGTTTCTGTTACATTTAATATTCAGGAAATGTGTATTAAAACTTAAACGCAGTATATTTGTAATATATACTGAAGAAAAATAAATGATATCAAACTGGTGGACACAATTTTCATTCAAGAATTAGTGATAGCAAATATTTTGATGAAGAAACTTTTGAAGAGACCTTAGGGTATAAATGTTATGTGCAATTATATTGCAATATAAATATGTTTCTGCAAAATTTCTAAAGAATAATTTCAAAAATCATTAATTTCTTAAAATGACAACATTAATACAGTTTTCCTCTAACACTCAATATATGTAGGTAGGGTGATCGAACTGGTTAGCTGGCAACTCCAGTTTTCGGACATGTTTGAATGAACTTACATTTTTAAGCATAATTATCGTGCTTAATCAAATTTTTAACCATTGAAATTAAGTGCCCAGGTAAGTGGTTCCATAAAATTCCAAAACCTCTTCTCGGGCACTATGTTCGAGAATAGGTATGACAGTAAAAGTCTGTTGATCTTCTTTTAGTAAATAAGATATAGATGTCTTTTATATTTGAATCCATTGCTCACATTTAAAAGATTATACTGACTAGTTTTCAGACACCTTTCTCTGACTATATAAGATGTCCGAAAAATATGTAGTTTTTGGACTAATGGAGATTTTAATGTTATTTAATTATAGGGTTTAATAACATAAAAAGTTGATTAAGAAACTGTATTAATTTTTTTAAATATACAGTTTTTTAAACTAAATTGCTTGTTTACAAAATTTCATACATAGGTATTCCGGGGATTCAATTAAACCAGCTTTACAGAGTATCAAATAGACAGCAATTAGAAAAAATCCTGCAAACGGTTTGGATTATCCAGGGTCACGATTCAAATACCTATTCAGGAAAATGAGTAAAGAAATAACTGGTCCATCACCAATACTGACAGTAGGGAGTGAAAAAAAGGAGATCCTGACATTAGGTGGCATAAGAATTTCCTAAAGTGTTGTTCTAAAATTTCGCTAAGACAAACAGAAGGCATTAACAAAGTTCGAACAGTGATTACAGAAGAGAAAAATTTCGAGACTGTTTTGGAAAACATCTAAAGAGTGGGTATTTAATGAGGATGAATCCGGATTTTCCCATTGCCCTAAATCTACCAGCAGGAAAAGCTTGCCCTTTCTTATAGACCGTAAGATAGTGACTGATTTAAGTGCCCCATTTTTGCATACAAGCCTCGAAGAGGGTTGAAAACTACATGGATTTTGGATAGAAAAAATGAATGTAAGGAAATTTAACAAGTGGCTACAGGGAATAACATGTGGAAAATTCGATTTTCCTTAAGAGAAATTAAAAGGTATTTGTTGCCCATATTTTTACGCAAGCTGTGTTCACTAAATGATTAACTAAAATAACTAGGCTTTGTAAAACCAAAGGCTTCAATGTTGCAAGTGGCTACAAGGTTGAAAAAAGGGCGTAAGCCCATCGAATGTATGAAAAGGTACATCGTCACTAGTCCAAAAAATATATTGGCTTGAATGACCCAAATGGATAAGTGAATTTTGGGGTCAGAAAATATTTCTGTTAAGAAAAATCGAATTTTCCATTTGTTAAAACTTAAAATTTGTTTTAGTTTAATGCCACATATAATACAAACATTAAAACTTTAGTAATTAAATAAAAAAAGAAACAAACATGAAAGAAACAGCAATTTTATTGCAAATTACTTTTTGCATTTTTGCCAGTTACCTACCTAGTTAATTTTTAAACTCCTATAAAATGACAAACAATTACTTAAACAAGCGTTTGTGATTTTTTTTAATCCAAATTCAAATAATGTCAATATAGTATTTTTTTACTACACGGGTTTATTTTCTATGTATTTTGTCTGTGGCTTGATTTTTATTTTTGGAAAAAATATAATGGGAATAATATCTCTGAAAATAAAACCTAATTTGTTTGCACCTTTTTTCTTCACTCCAAGATCAAACATAAGCATAAGTGAGCAAAATAACATAAAAATACAATGTGAACCTAAAAAAACATAAATTCTTGCCAATCGTCTTACAATTACTACATGGTCGACCAGTCGATCACGATCGACATAATGAGCACCCCTGGTCTATAGAGTGCACCATATTATTTACAGATGGTAATTAGAAAGTTTTGTGAACAGAATAATAACATATTAGGAGTACATGAGTCACTACCTAATAATTTGCATATTCCTCAACCTGCATATGTCTGTGTGTTTAAGCCTATGAAACCAATGAAAAAATATCGTCACAGACGGGCAGAGACGCCCTTAGAATGTTAACCGACACTATAACTAAAATCAATTTTTGCACAAAGTTTTCCAAGAAATAATAATGTTTTAATAAATTATTTAAAATGCTTTTGGTTTTACTCCCAATAAATTTCCTCTAATACATGTAATATGATGACGGCCACCTGCTCGAAAAAAGGTTTAACAGTGTCTGGCAATTTGTTCAGGGTGTCCAAAAAATTACAAAAGGTACTTTTCCCAACTAATTCCTAATTATTTTTAAAAAGAATTCACATAACATAGTTTGCCTTTTCCCTTTCTATTCAATATGTCCCTGTACAATATACACAGAAAAATAACTAATTATTATATTTTCCCACCAAGAATTGCTTAATTGTCCAATAACCGGTTCAATCGCCCTATACAAAATTAGATGGTCATATTTTAAACAGCGTAATCTACATCCTAAAATAGAAGTAAAAGTTCATATAAACATAGGTCCGAAAACGTTTCGTTTTCGAGATACAGGGTGTTACATTTATGTAAATATTTTCTAAAATTTCTTTAGTCATCGGTTTTCCAAAGTTAAAAAAAATAAAATTTCTGATTCCACAGGCCTACTAATTATTGTTTACACTTTCGAATAAGAATAAGAAAATTTTCAAATGCTTTTCTCTTGAAAATGGTGCGTCATTGCGAGATACAACAAAAGTAGCTTTATTATAAAGAAACTATTGGTTTTCCAAATTTTGTAGTCAAAAATGTTAAAAATAGTCAACAAAAAAACTTAGGACAATTTAACCCTAAGCCCCTCACCCACCTATGAAGATGATCAGAACATTCAGTCCATTAAAGAGCATAAAAAGTTTAGCATTTGTACCAAATTTCACTTAGTTATCTCTAAAAGTTTAGAAAATATTACAAAAATGTGTCATCAAGACTTCATTTTAACAAAACGTTTTCGGACCTATGTTTATATAATCTTTTACTCCTATTTTGGGATGTAGATTATGCTGTTAAAACAAGACCGTCTAATTTTGGGACACCCTGTATAAGACATGTTAAAAATACTGAAATTAAAATTAGCTTATCGACTTAATGTTCTGTATATAAATATATTTTTACCTTGAAATACTCTGAACTTTGTTAGTGTTATCATCATCCCTAGGTGGAGAGAATTCTTTTTCAAATAGTCTTATTTTAAAGTGAGGTCTCTTTTTCTTTACTATTACTGGTATTATTGATATTTCAGGGCCAATAGAATTAATTATTTTATCATTTTCTGTATTTCCTCCCGCTAATGGATCAATGTCATCGTTTCTAAAATTCTTGAAAAAAAAATTATTTTTTTAAAGATGAAATAAATATCTTACATTACCTGATCTTGTGAACTGTCTTCATCGTTAATTATAACCATAGGTTCAAGAGATGAGTGGAAATCGGCTTCATCCATGCTTCAGTATACCTTAAAATCAAAATTATTTGGTCAATTTCCAGATTTTTAAAGTTGTTTATAATATTAAAAAATAAACAAACCAATCTAAAACTAGCTTTTTTTAATTAAACTAACTGTAATACCAGTAGAAAATTTCTTTTTTATATGTGATATGTCTTGTATTTATTGTATTATAAGTAATGATTAAAAATAAACTCCCAAAATATCCATTAAAGCCCAAAATTTCACCATCTCTTTAAAAAAATATACAAAAAAATTGGCTTTTCTGTCAAGATTGTCAAAATAACGTCAAACGTGTTTTATCGATTTGTTTGTAAACATTTATACCAACCATCTATGTACCAACTTATATTCCAAATAAATAATAATTCAAGCTTCGTACAGATGTTCAACAAAGACGCTGTAATTTTATTACTCAGATAAACTTTTCACAGTTAATATTTATTTTATAGTAATAAAAACACTGTATTGTAAACGAAAATGATACTTTTTAAAGTGAAAGTTCATGTATTGGAATTAATGAATTGCACCCTTAATCCTTATTGGATATACGGTATTAGAATGTCAGTGTGAAGCGAGAGTGTGAAGGATACCTAAAATTAAAAACAAAGTAGTTGGTAGCCCTGTTGGAATATTTAAAGATTCGTCTTGTTTTGTTGGCAACGTTAATTTCTTTCCGGTCAAAGTTTTAGAGCCGTCAACATGGGTGAGTGTCGTTCTGTAAGTTTTTTTCCGTTTTAGTGAAATTTTCAGTTATTTCAAAACATTTTGAATAATTTTTGATAAACAAATAGTAAACTTAGTGTTCACTAAAGATATTTAATGAGTTCTTTACTTTTTACTAAATATTTCCCGCATTTCCGCACTAGCAACGCCTTAGCAAAATGTGTCAACTATTTTTTTATCTGCTATCATCGGATCGGCGCTTAGTGAAATTAGTTAAATATTTATTAAATAATGTTTCTTAAACTACAAGTAACTAGTGTATGTGCATATTACCCGAAAATTAATTGAATGTTATTTTAAAAGGAAAACCCCGTGGATTAAGAACCGCTAGGAAACATGTGAACCACCGTAGGGACCAAAGATGGGCTGATAAAGATTACAAAAAGGCACATTTAGGAACCAGGTGGAAGGCTAATCCCTTTGGAGGCGCTTCCCATGCCAAAGGAATTGTACTTGAAAAAGTGTAAGTTCGATATTATTTATTTAAATAAATTTGATATTACAGCATTGTGAAAACATCAGTTCTGTTTTTTATAAGATCATGGTGTTATTTTAAAAGCAATGCGAAATTAAAGGCGCCCTGAACCATTGGGTAGACGATTCAATCGACTATACACTCTGATATGTGTGCCACATTTGATAATTTATTGGAAGAAAAATTTTAAGGATTCGTTGCGCAGAATTTCCTCGTGAATGGTTTTGTATTAGGACTCCAATCACAGGAAAATTCTGTGCGATGCGTCTTTTATAAGCCATCAGAAAATGCAGGTAAAAGAAGAATTATTACTGTGACTTGTGATTTAAAAGTGCATTAATTTATACCTAGTACCACATGGTGAGTGAAATGGACCATGTGATGTTTTTATGATATTGTCTGGAAAAGGTCTAGCAAAAATGAGTATTTGTAATTTTTCTGTAAATTGAGTACACCTAGATTTTTTTTAAACTTAAATTTGCCCAAATAAAACTTCTTAACCATGTGGTAATGCATAACTATGGATTTTTCCTACTTTTAATATGACCCTCATAGCCACCTGAACCTGAATGTCTTTTTTTACATTCTCTTCGGTAGTGTGATCTTCACCTCAATTTGAACATCTAATTATTTTTTTGCACTAGCACTGCCTCTTATTTATTTAATTTGTTTAATTGCTACCTCATGTTCAAAGAGTTTGTCTTGACTAAATCAAGGTATTACTGTTATTTGCTTTCATTTTGTCTCCTGTTCTTATTCCTTTGTCTCCTAATTATCATTTTTCATAAAAATGTAAACTAATTATAATGTATCAGTGGGTGTTATTTTGGCTAGTTTGTGAGTGCAAAGTGTGTTGCTCCTTTAACAAAAACTGAATATAGAAATACAGGTATTTTCATTGTCAATCTCACAAAGTGTCCTATCTCATTTTTCCTAATTTTACAGCAGAGCAGTTCAAAGTTTTGTACTGCATTTGAGTAAAGAGATAGGTCCCTAAAGTGTTTCTAATCTCAAAAACTGTAGGATTGAAGATGATAGGTATACTCAAATCATATTTTACAATCACACCTAGTGGCACTATGGTTAAAGCTGTATAATTTAATATTTGTATTGAATTTCAACATAATAATTATTTTAGTGAAATTTTATCTTTTACAGAGGTGTTGAAGCTAAGCAACCTAATTCTGCCATTCGTAAGTGCGTTAGGGTACAATTGATCAAAAATGGTAAAAAAATCACAGCATTCGTTCCTAGAGATGGTTGTCTGAATCACATTGAAGAAAACGATGAAGTTTTAGTAGCAGGTTTTGGTCGTAAGGGTCATGCCGTAGGAGATATTCCTGGAGTTAGATTCAAGGTAAATATGTTTGAGATAATTTATTTACAGAACAAAAAATACATTCTAGATAATTTTTATTCCAACAAATGTTTTGTACATACAATCATTGTGAAACTTGTCAAAAATGTTAATTAAATTGAAAGAACACACAAATATAGATGAATAGACACTATATGACTTATAAACATTGTGAAGGGACAGTCAAAGTTTAATCTCTCAAAAAAATATACTTTCTAATGTGATGGCAATAGTCCCTCTTCTCTTGCTCTGGGTTTGCAGTATAGTGAGGTTACTTCCAGAATTGTTTAAAAGTAACAGCATTTTTTGAGACTGTAATTAGATCTAATTTTTCATGATGAAAAAAATAACAGAGCCAATCCTATGAAACTTTCAATGATTCTACTGTTTTTTGTACTGATTCATCTGAAAATATTTATATAAAATGATTGATAATTATTTATATTAATGTTGTTTTTTTCTTTTTTTTGCAGGTTGTCAAAGTAGCCAATGTTTCTCTCTTAGCCTTATATAAAGAAAAGAAGGAAAGACCTAGGTCATAAAAAGTTAAAATGTTATTTTTTTTATTTATTTCTTGACACTTAAATTTTAATAAAGTGTACAAGGACAAAATATTGTATAGTGTTTTATTTTAATAAAGTTAAGTTTTTTTACAGAGTACCTATGTGTTTATGATATTGTAACATCCTTGGTATTACAAAACTGATCTTTATCCATTATTTGGCTGAGTACTCTTTTATTATGGTAGTTGAATCTGTTGATCAGTTTGTTTTCTCAATAGTAAATTTTATATTTCAAAGGGAAATCTAATAATATGGATTTATTATTTATTGAAGAATTACCTAGTATTAAAAAAAATCACAATCAGTTTTATTTCAACAGCATTCAGTTTTGGGTTACATTTTTTCAAGTTAAATGACATTGAACTTTTACTTTAATAAAGTGAGATTGAAATGAGACTAAGTTTATGATCAGTTTTGTTACTAAGGTATGTGGTTGTTCCCCCACAGCTCATTGTGCATCCTCCAGGGACATAGGACCTGCCTCTTGACTCGTGAACACCTGCAAGCAAACATCGTTGGTGATTTCATATTTCCAAAATTGCATTTCAGTTTTCAGATCTAAACCGCGATTTTCTAACCTTCCTATGTCAATTTTTCTTTTACATGCATATTTAGAGATCGTCAATGTCTTATAATAGCATATGCAATTATCATAATGATTGTTATTAATACACGAGCATTAATTGGGATACGAAACGAGCGGAAGGCGAGTTTCATATGGTTTATGCGAGTGTATTAACCATTACATGAGGGTTGCATACGTTATTTTTTCTATACCCGATAAATAATCGAGAACTATTATATTTGTATTGAACACAATAACGGTAATTACTCGCATTTCTATAAAAAGTTCTACAAAATTGTAATTAATGGTATTACCATAGATTTTTGTGGCAAAATATGTTACTGCATTTTCTGCTTTCTCCGATGTGTGGAGGAGTCTGGTAAGTTTTCTATATCGCTGATATCAAACATTTTGATAATATAATTATCAAGTTTAGCTATCTACGAAAATTAATACGTACTGATTTTGACAACTAAAACAATTACATAGGAACCTAGGACAAACGTCAAATGCACAGCATGCTTGATTGAAAAATTATGGGCTTCTATTGATTAAAAATCTATCATGAAACTGATTATGGGCATATAAGTGCATTATAATACAGGTGTAGAAAAATAAATCTTTTCTGACCAATTTTAAAACTTGTGGCAACTGAAAAGGAAATGCATTTTTCACACGACAAATAGGTGTGCCTGTTTTTATTGAATATGAAATTTTGAAAAATTGAATTTATTTTTTTTTGTGTATATCATTCGTTAATAAAACTTTTAAAATACGATATAACTTTAGGGCCAGTTTTTTCATCTCTGAGTAAAGTTCAAAGTAACTACTTGCTGATTAAACTATAGAGCTACTGTTTGTTAATCTGGCAAGTAAACCTACATGTAACTTTACTCAGAGGTGAAAAAATCGACCCTTATTAGTCTAATTTATTTACTATATGTTTAAATAAGAAAATTGAAATTTCACAATAATTTTTTTCTAATTTTGACATATTAAAAGGGGTCTATTCTGTAACAATTCCTTTATATTTAACGGCCTTTAAAAATATTTACTTCTGTCATTATTTAAACGGATCTTTAAAATATATTAGAGGACTATCTTAAAGAAATCTGTTTAAATAATATGACAGAAGTAAATTAACGAATACGAACATATTTTTATAGGCCGTCAATATTTTTAAAGGCCGTTAAATATAAAGGAATTGTTACAGAATAGACCCCAAAGTGACTTATTTTGTAATCGCAAGTGTCAAAACGATCTACTTTTTGCCAGTGATTACGAAAAATTGATTGTCACCGCAGTTACGAAATGAAAATAAATAAAAATGTCTGGTTTTTAAATCGAAAAAAAGGCAATGAATAGTGACATTTGACATTACATTTATAAACAAAAAATAAAAGCAGTAAATTGTGTTTTATTTTTTAAATAATGAACACCGTTATTGAAAACTGCCCAGAAGGGTAAAATTTTGACGTACTCAGAGAGAAGACATTAATGTCTTATCTCTGGATGTACTCCTCTAAGGATAACGGGGAAAATCGTTTTTTTTTTTTAATTTCTGGCAGGTAATGTCAAAAATCAGATTGGCAATATTGCACATGTCCTTTATTTTTATCTTGTATGTAACACGTTACGAAATGCCGTTACACAAAATAAGGCATTTCTTAACTGGTTACATAAATAGCTAATTCGTAGAACCTACTAAAAGGAATGAAAATTTTACAAAAAAAAAATACCGCGCAATATTCGCATACGTTATACCTAGGTACCATTTTGTCTGTATATACCTATATAGTGTATAATAAAAAAAAACTAGGATAACTTCAGTTCATACTTTTTTTATGCCAGAGATAAAAGGTTTATGCAAATAGAAAATCAAATTAGTAGGCAGGTATTACCTATATTTAGAATTTTTTTAAATTTGTCATGCAAAAATATAGTGTTAGTTAAATCGCAATACGCCAAAAATCTGGCAACCTTGTCTACGTATGCGCAACAAGGTACGCCTTGTTGCCAAAACGCAATTAGAATGAAGAAGACTTCATTGTTTTATCTTACTGGATTTTATAAAAAGAACGGCAAGTTAATCCATCGCGTATGTAAATGTAACTTAATTTTTTACGATCTAAACGAGTAATATGTAATACTAATATAAACAAGCGAAGATGTTTTTAAAGTTTAGCACTATTTTTAGCGAAAATTCCGAGGCCCTCACAGAATTTTGGCGTTGGTCTGAGAGACCATATCGATTGAATTTAACGAGTTGGTCATTAGCCTCGTAATGTACGTTTTGTTTCCGTTTCTCTGCGCTTCTATATGAACAGTACCGTTTAACGCTCAGGTCACACACACTCCCGATCCGCTCACAATCAGGGATGTGAGGTAGTATTTTTCACATGTTACACTCAACTACCGCTCATTTCCCTCAATCTTAATGAATGCCATGTCAAAGTATATCTTATACAGCTTGTACAATTCCTTGGTATTTCGAACTAAATCAATTAGAACAGAAGTAAAAGTTGGAAATGCTTTTGCCAGTTCTCCCACTTTATACACATAAATTGACAGGTTGGCAGCGGATTTCACCGAAGTGGATGCGATACATTGGCGTACAAAATTATTTTATAGATGTTAATAACAATTTCGAGTAAATAGTTTAATAAATTGTGAATAGCTGTTGAAATTTTGTAAAATTATGATTTGAATATTATAATACATATGTTTAATAATTATTTATAATCCATAAATACATGTGATTGTCCGGTTCCGCCGATAACAATTTAAAATTACTTATTCTATGAAACGACACTGGCAGGTAAACATTACTGCGAAATTCTCGAAGCCGCCCGACGTGGTTTGACGTTTACCCCCTCTCTACCTACCAAAAGACTTTTCAACTTTTAATTTCTCTTTAGTTGTTCAGTCAACTTGCTCTTAACACAAGAATAGGAAAAACAAACGCCGTTTAATTAAAAATATTAAAATGAGCGTCAGTTGAGTGTAATATGTTAATGTTAATACTAGAACAGAAGTAAAAGTTGGAAATGCTTTTGCCAGTTCTCCCACTTTATACACATAAATTGACAGGTTGTCAGCGGATCTCACCGAAGTGGACGCGATACATTGGCGTACAAAATTATTTTATAGATGTTAATAACAATTTCGAGTAAATAGTTTAATAAATTGTGAATAGCTGTTGAAATTTTGTAAAATTATAATTAGAATATTATAATACATATTTAATAATTATTTATAATCCATAAATACATGCGATTGTCCGGTTCCGCCGATAACAATTTAAAATTACTTATTCTATGAAACGACACTGGCAGGTAAACATTACTGTGAAATTCTCGGAGTCGCCCGACGTGGTTTGACGTTTACCCCCTCTCTACCTACCAAAAGACTTTTCAACTTTTACTTTCTCTATACCTCAAATCCTTGATTGTGGGCGGATCGTGAGCGTATAGTGTGGGAGTTACTATTTAAAAAAATTGTCACTGCCCAAAAATGGGAAGTAGGGGAAAATTGAATTCTATTTAAAAAATTGCGCTTTAAGTAAACAAAATTGACCTGTCCGAGCATTTTTTCGAAAAACCAACTACTTCCATTATAATGAATTTATTCCTTCCATCATATACTGTATATGTACTTTTGTGATAAGTCCAATTTAGCTTCGGGATTTAATGAATAATTTAATTTTTAATTCGTGGTCGTCCATCAATAGGTACCCGAAATGAAGTAGGGTCTGATTACAATAAGAAACACAGCTACGTCATCATTTAATTAATTGGCTATCGCCGCCTACTGGGGGTTTAGTGGAGTATTGATATTATAGGAAATATTTTTTTGTACCTTACAACTTACTGATTGATAGTTATAAATAGTATGTATTCGAGCGGTGTTCTTATTCACTTCTTATTGTAATCGGATTCTGCTTATGTATTTTTTTTATAAACATGTAATTTAAAAAAAAAACTAGGATCTAAAGAATAATGTTTAACGCGTGGCAACTCTGCGTTTGGAAATTTGCAGAATAACATTTTTTACAACTTACAACATAGCGCATTAAGCTTTTGGCGCTATCGGTCGCTTACCTATATTTTTTAACGTTACTTGGGTCGTGAAACACGTGTTTTGCAGTTAAATTGATAATTTAATTAGAAAACCCTAAAAATGAAATATATTTTAGTAACGGGAGGTGTTATTAGTGGTGTAGGAAAAGGTGTAATATCTAGTTCTTTCGGAGCAATTTTAAAATGCTGTGGTATTGAAGTAACGTCAATAAAAATTGATCCTTACATTAATTTGGATGCTGGAACTTTTTCACCATATGAACACGGTAAAATCTTAGATGTATTAAAACATTGTTTACTGACATAATTGCTCTTAAAATGTTTAGAAACATATCTTGTTTATCATAGACTTCATACCTAATGCCTGTTCACTAACTATTAAAATAAATGGTTATTTTATTCATATTTCCGTTATTTATTTGAATAATAATTTTTAGGGGAAGTGTATGTCCTGGATGACGGCGGAGAAGTGGATTTAGATTTAGGAAACTATGAAAGATTTTTAAACATAACCTTACATAGAGAGAACAACATTACAACTGGAAAAATTTACAAACATGTTATTGATAAAGAAAGGCATGGTGACTATCTTGGGAAAACAGTTCAAGGTAATAATACTTTAGACATGAGGAACCAACTAATTCAAGAATTCTCTATATTACAAAGTACTTTGTATAATAAAATTATCTGCTTATTGTTACACTTATCTAATGCTCTACTAAAGTGAATAACTTAATATTTAGCAATAATTGCTAGTAGGACACAGTAAGGTAGTGTTGATGGATATATGATAAATATTATGCTCCAGTGTTTCAAAATATTTTTCTAAAATCCCCGTTTTTGTAAGCCCGTATTTCCTATATAATAAAACGAGTAATCCTGCATGATTGTTGAATTTTAAATGGAGTTCTAATTTTCTAGATTACCTCTTTGTGTTTACTAATTTAGTATTAATACTACTAATGTCTTATTATATATAAATGTTTTCCACAATCCAGGTTCGAAATTACCATATTTCAACCGAAAATAAGTACTGTGCATTTAAAATTTATTAAAAAAAGCGCTGTAAAACTAACAAAAAAACATTTAATTAGTCAAGTGTTAGGTACAAAGAAACAAGAGAAAAAAGACAAATATATTTTGAATTTTTTAACTTTTAAGTTATATTTAAATATGCACTTATAGCCATTTAGCATTAAAATTCAGGTTTGGTGATTATTTAATTTATAACTACAAATAATTTATAATGTAAGAAGTAAATAATCACCTAATCTTAATTCTTATGCTAAATGACAAATTGAATATTTTAATATAATTTTAAATTCAAAATAACTTTACTTTATAACATTCTTCTGTATTGTAAAAAATAAGATACTTTACTCTTGAGTAAAATTCCTATTTTTTGACAAACCTAGTATAAGGCTTAAAAAAAATTGATATCTGATAGTTACATTTCAGGTTTTGAACCATGCAAAACTTTTTATCGAGAATACATTTTTTCACAAAACCAATAATAAAAAAGTTTTCCATATGGTTTCAACGTAAGTAAGCAGGTATAACTCAGAACAGACAGACAATTGAGAGAAGTCATAATAAAAACAAATTTTCTCCTTACCGATATCTTTCATTTGATATATATCTTACTCCTATTGAGAGGTGGGGCAAAACTGTCCATTCTCCTTTATATAGTTACCATAAATTTGGTTTTATTTTAATTATTTGAATTTATTGATAAATAGCCAGTCATAATATTTAACAGTTTCATCCAAATTAAGTATCCACGTAATATTTTTGTAGTACGTTTTTTTTTATATTATTTATTTAAATAATGACAATGCCTTGGGGTACACTTTGGACACTGTTTATTTTAGTTCAGTGGTAACATCTCTGATGCTAGTCGAGGATTAACTTTATATGTATAGTATAATAGGTATATCTATAATTTGTTTATTGTGTTGTTTGTTACTTACTATTACTAATTATTATGATTCCTTTTCTTCTAAACTTGAGTCACTAACTAGAATTATTAAAAATAGATAAGGTACTCATACTCGTTACTCGAGTATTCTCTAAAATTTGCAAAAGTACTCATTTTATTCATATAAGTGCTCATACTCAGATACTTATGAGTACTTTGTAAAGCTACTCATGAGTATTTTAATGCAGTACTGCCCAGCTTTGGTCTTATCTTACACATAACACATAATACTGTAATTTGTCCCTTTGGGCAATTTCTACATTGCCCTTTGCTAGTATATGTTGGGTAATGGCCTAAAAGATCTTCTCTTATTTCTGCTGGTGGAAAATCTTTGATATGAGTACCGATTTTTTTTGCAAATTATTTAGTTCTGCTAATGCTCTTCCCTTGGTCCTACCTCTAAGTAACATTGCATCTATTTATGTTAAAGAAAATCTAAACTATAGTGTTAAAAAAAAATTATTGTTTGTTAAAGTGTATTGGTGTTTATTAATTAAAATTAAATTATGTGGTGAAAATATCATACTGGGATCATTGTATAGATCACCTAGTTATGATTTCAGTATATTTTTTAATGATTTTAAAGATTGGGCAGAGGATGTATTCACTCAAAATATTAGCTGTGTTATTGTTGGCGATTTTAACTTAGATCTGTCAGAAAGTAATAGTGATCATAGATATGTAATTGATTTTAAGAATTTTATAATGGGCGTAGGAGTTGAACAATTGGTTCAGCTACCTACAAGAATAACCAATACCAGTAAAACGCTTATTGATTATATTTTAGCCAATAGGGGTAGTATCACACATAAAGTGCATCTTACTCCAAAAATAACTGATCACAGTATAATATCAGTATCATTATTTGTTTGCAATTAGGATTTAAATACTGTAGACATGAGTAGAAATTATGAGTAAAATTGAAATGGTGGTTAATAGTGTTTCTCCAATAAAATCTTTTACTTGCACCCGAAATCAAGTACCATGGTATGATCATGAGGTTGAAATTTTGTCCCATAATACGAATCTGGCATATAAATCTTTTGAAAATACTATACTTAATGATGAAAAGCAAAATTACTGGGAACAATATAAGTTGTATCTAGATCAAGTAGTTAATTTGTTGAAAAGAAAAAGTGTCTACATTTCAAAAATGCAATTGATCACTGTCAAGACACTCTAACATTTTAATGGCCTACCAATCTGGCTTTCATGCAAAACATTCGTGCGGAACAGCTCTTTATATGACGTTGAGTAAGTGGAAGTATTTTTAGACTTTAAAGGAGCCTTTGAAACCATTGACATTAACCTACTCCTCAAAAAACTCAAATATTATGGTTTCACAGATAGAGTGCATTCATGGTTTCAAGGCTATCTTCTAAACAGATATCAAAAGACTAAAATAAACAATGTATTTTCTAACGAAATTCCTGTATCATCGGGTGTACCCCAGGGAAGTGTTTTGGGTCCACTTTTATTCATTTTGTACCTCAATGATCTTAATTACGTAAAAGACTGAATTTTTGAATGTATTTGCTGAAGACACCCTACTAGCTGCAAGTGATCAAAATTTAAAAAATCCAATTACCAAAATAAATCAGACACTTCAAAATATTAACGAATTTCTCAATCTAAATTAACTTAAAAGTCAATAAAACTAAAGCAATGATAAATAACCTCACAATATAAATACAACCAAATTCATGAAAATCATATTAACATTCACATTGATGGGAAGACGATTCAGTTGACTGAAGATATTAAATACTTGGGTTTTGTAGTTGATAATATATTAAATTATAAAAATCATTATCAATACATTTATAACAAAATATCAAAAAAATTGTTTTTCTTCAGCAGAGTTTGTGGCCATCTTACATTTAAGACTTCACATAATGTTTATAAAACAATCATTGAACCTCATTTTGATTACTGCTCGAGCTTATCGAGATTATTAGATTCTGTCAACATGCACTCCAAAAATTGCAAAATGGAGGGATGCGAATTATTTTGAAATGTAATAGGTATACACCTATTATTACAATGATTTCCACATTAAATTGGTTGTCGGTGAAGGATAGACTATTGTTATGTTCTATGTTATTTATATATAAAATTATATCGGGAAATGCCCCTAAATACTTTGATGAATTTATTACGTTTAATCACCAAGTTCATAATTATCCCACTAGAAGAGTTACTGACTTATGTAACTAAAACAAATTACAGTCGCACTATAAACTCAATTTTTCATATTGGTTTAATTGCTTTTAATGCCCTTCCATATGAGATAAAAACTCAAAATAACTCAGTGGCGACTCGCTAGATGACGCAGGTGATGCGCTGCTTCACCAAAATTTCAGTAGAAATTAATTTAAAAAATCAACTGAATAGCTAAATATTTATTTTTCTGTAACAAAATGGCCTGCATTTTTGTCTCTATACAAATTACAAAACGGAAACCTCCAAAACTGTACCTAATTTCGGGGTATCTGGACCACTGCATGAAACAAACAAGGCGCTTGATAAAAAAAATCCGATCGTCCGGGCTCGCTTGTTTTTGAAAATATAATACAATAGAAAGATTTCCTAATCCGAGCGAACGGAGCGCTGGAGGCGCTATCCATAAAACCCCCGAACACGCGTGTCTTCTATCGGGGCGTTTGAGGGTTGCCATGGTAACGGCACGTTTCGATCTAGCCGATTAAAGCACTTGACGCGTTGATTCAGTTTGCTTCTTCCGGTCGGGACTATTTTTTTACAGTGATTGGACTAGTTGGTCAATTGCGAGTATTTTTAGATTTTTCTAACAATGTTTCCAGTACATGATCCAGTATGTATGCTTTTGGAGATGCCATTCTGTAGATGGGGAAGTGAGGATAAAAAAGACTTTTTAAATTGGCCAAAAACTGAACCTCTACTAAATGTAAGCAAAAAAAAAAACTAAGTCAAAAGACAAAGTGTGCGAAAATTTCTGAAAGAGTGGTATTCCGAATGTAAATGGCTGTGTGGTAGTTTTTATTTAAACAAGCTTTTTTGCGTACCCTGTTTGATAGTAGGTGTAAAATCAAATGTATGGACTAAAGACGGTTTTAGTGATTTTTGGGAACATGTGACCATATGCGTTATGCATTAAGATTTACAGAACTAAAAAAAAATTAAATACTATTGAAGACGCTTTAAAAGACAGAATGCATCTTAACAGATGTTTTATGCAGTTGCCAATTCGAGCAGTTCTTTTTCTAGGAAAACAAGAATTGGTATTTCATTGTCATAATGAATATAAATCTTCCGAAAATCGCGGTAATTTTAAGGAACTTTTAGATTCATATATCTCACTCTGTTCTGTAGACATTCAAGAACACTATAAAAAAAATTAGCTTGAATTTGCCGCAAATTCTAAAATAATTCAATAAATAAACCGTATTTCTCAATATATTGACAAATATATTGAAATGGAATTAAATGATTACAATTTTTTTCCATTCAAGTAGACGACTCAACAGATATTGCTTAAAAATCTCAATATAGCATAATAATTAGGTATGTTAACTCTCAAGGAAAGCTAGTTGAAAGATTTTTAGGATTACATGATGTAAGTTCTGATCGAACAGCTTAAGCATTGTTTAC